AAAGCATAATAGACACGTAAGCCCATAAATAGCAATTAAAGGCAAACAAAGGGATCCAACGACAATCGAATAGCAAGTAAACATCAAGTTACACATCCATCTTCCAACCTTATACCAAGTTTCAACCTTTACTCCTCTCATTCTTTATATCAGTTCCAACCTGTACCTCCAGGCCACCCTTATATCGCCTCCCTTATCCCTCCGGAGCAACTACATGCCCCCCTCCGTAACCACCAACAAGTCCACCAACATGGTAGCACCGAAGTACCATTCGCATGGTCTGTGCCTCTACCACCACTACCAAGGGGTCAACGCATATAGCTCTGACATGACACCGCGGCGCTTATACCCTTACCCAAGCCTTTAGCCAGCAAGTCTAAGGGGTGGTCCGTGCCTTTAGCACGATAATCGAGCACTCGTTGTGCTATCCGCCAACAATTCATTTCCACCAATCACAATCTCATCATCATCAATCTTAAACATCATTGCGCAATGATCACAACACCCATCGTTATTCAATCAATCAACATATAATCAACAATAACAATCAAGGTACAGTAACAGACGATACACACTAGACATAAATCCCTAGAACGGTACTCAAAACATCATACGAGACTCATAAACATAAAACGGGGTACAACGGGGCAGAACGCGGCACGGGGAAAAACAACCCGCCGCACCACCACGTTCCACCAGGTAGGCGGCGGGTGGATGACCACCCGCCGGTGGGCGTCCATTTTCTAGCGGCTGCCTGGCGGGCAGTCGTCTGCCCACCGGCTGCCCGCTAGAATCACGGGCAGTTCACCGCGGGTAGGTGGTGGGGACTCGTTCCCCCCACCTACCCCCCACTGGTACGAAGGTAAAATCGGTGTTCAGGTGTTCGTTCGTGGAACCCGAAACCATGTCAGAACACATTCCCACATGTAACAATAACATCAAGGATTCAATTAACAAGGATTAAACCAAGAATCACGCCAATTACATTCTAACATGATTCCTAAACATGTCAAGACTCGACATCAATCACATAACGGTTCAGGAGCATCCGGAACCTCAAGAACATCAAGAAATCTATATGCAAAGCCCTAAAGACAAGTCCTAGACTAGAATCCACACCCGAGCATGCATAAACTCACCCAATAACACCAAGAACATCACAACACGAGACTCACGATATAAACCCTAAGGACAAGCTCTAGACATAATTAAATACAAGATCATATCAATAACCACACAGGGCCATCAAGAATCAAGAATATCAATAATTCACCATATAAACCTAAAGACAAGCTCTAACAAGATACACATACAAAATCACACATTCAATCAACCAACGGAGCCAATCAATAAATAATAGTAAGAAAAATAGGTTTTGTAAGACATGGGTTACCTCTTAGCCCTAATCACCTTCCTTTTCTACTAAAGTTCTTCTCTAAGATTCTCCTCCAATTGATCTCCCTAGTCTCGGTGGTGGGGAATTCCTTTGCTAGGTTTCCTCTGGGAACGTCTCGAGTGGTAGAATTAATCGTGGCAGGGTTTCTAAATCCTTTCTAATCCCCTATATATAGATTCAGGAGTCCTAACTAGAATCTGAATAGTAAAGGCCCACGTTCCCGATTCCTAACGGATTAAAGGCTTGATTAAGGATAAGAGTTCATGATCCATTGTGGACCACACTAATTAATTCTAGCCCAATTAAATCATTTTCAATTATATTTTAACGGAATTAATTCCATACTTAACCCGAATTTGGAGGCCGTAACACGGGGTGTTACAATGTGTAATAGCTATAGCACTTGTATTATCACACTTAATACATACTTCTCGTGCTATAACTCCATAATCTTTTAATTGTTGCATCATCTATAGGATTTGTGCACAGCAACTACCAGCTGCAATGTACTCGGCCTCAGCAGTACTTGTGGCAATAGATTTTTTCTTTTTCCTAAACCAGGACACAAGTCTTCCCCCTAGGAAATGGCATGTTCAAAAGGTACTCTTCCGGTTTATCTTGCAAACAGCAAAGTCTGCATCAGAATATCCAATTAATTCAAATGATCATCCTGTGACACCCCAGAATTTATTCTCGAAAAGCCAAATTGATTTCCTAAATATTGCCTAAGGATGAATTTAATTCTCCTACTTACATTTTGATCTCCTTTGACTTTTGCCTTGAATCTAGCTAAGGGAATTGTTTTAGCCCAATCCCTTAAGCTTTTGGAAAGAACTATTTATTTGGACCCTATTTAATGTCTTGTTGGACTTTAAAAGCATAAGTATATTTCCCTAGCCTGTTTTATAAAAGTAATAGGCCCATACCATATACTTGTTAACTTGTAGCCCAAGCTACAGTTCTCACCCTAATTTCCTTACCCTTGAATTCCCATCAGTTAACTACCAACAAACTCAAAACTTTTCAGCTCACTCTCCACAATTCCACACACCACATTCATCCTATTCCCTTACTAAAAGTGTTCTTCATTTCCCCAAGCTAGAAGACCAAGCAAGTTCCCACCTTGTATTAGTTGAGCTTTGTATTTGGATTTGGATAGAAACTGTTGTAAGCCTGTGCATTTAGGTTTAGTATAGCCTAAATGTGGCATAACACCCCAATAGAGTTTGTATTTTGAATTCACTTCCGCATTTCTTTGGATTTTTTGTATATAGAATTTTGGGGTGTTGCAGTTGGTATCAGAGCCTAGGTTGAGCCTAGGATGTTAAGAGTTGGACTTTAAGAACCGAGGTCATAGAAACCGTGGGACGCGTGGTGAGACTGTGAGTTTACTTATCGCTTTCTATCGTGTTTCTTATGCTTTGCTTTCGTTTAACTTTGGTTCTTTTAGTTAAGCACCAGGTAAGGGGTGCAAGTTTTTAAGCTTATCTCTGTAATCGGCGTTTCTCCTGTAGAATCCGAGTATGGCTCCACCAAGGCATTGGGGTAGGACCCCGGATACGCCGACCAACGAACAAATGGCTCAGAATTTGCAACACTTGACTCAAATCACCCAAATGCTGAGTAACGCGCTCATTAACAACAACAACGACCAATGTGATACCCCATATTTTCTGGGCACTATACGAGGACCGTATGTGCATACGGAGTTAATTTTATTAAATTCTCTTATCTTTGTTACCTAATTTTATTTTATTCTTTGGGCTCCAAGTCTCATCCTAAGTCCATATTATTATAGTGAGCCTAATTATATGATATGTACCTACGTTCATTAACATACATATATATTATACGTTTCTTTCTTAAATCTATCCTAGCATCCTACACATGTTTTATATGTATATAATTGATCATTATTATCATTTTCAATTACCTATCATTACACTTATTTTCCGTAATTATTTTACTAATGGTATATTACACGTTTTGTTCCTTTCATATGTCATTATATCTAGATTGACCCATATTCTCTCCTAAATGAGTAACATATAATTACACGTACATTTTGTTCCTTTCCTAAATACTCCGTAATAATTCTCTTATATATTAGTAGTCTTCTTATTATCAATCCTCTCCTTATACCTATATATATATATATATATATATACCTCAAAGTTAACTCTAATTCTATCCTAAAACTAATAGCCTATCACTCTCGGTTGACTTGCTCTCTACTCCGTCCCTCTCTCCCTTTTCTTCTCCCTCTCTCTCTCTCTCGCCAATATTTTCCCCTCACTGTGAAGAAGCCGCAGAAGCAATCTTTTATGTATAGACGACAAAAATGAATTTGTATGTTTTTAGGCTGATGAAAAATGATGATAATGATGATGCTTGTTTCTGCCGTGGAAAATGACAAAATGATGGGGTAAGATGAGGTAATGATTATAGGAATTTGGATAAGGATAAATATTTGATGATTGATGATGAGGATTTTGGTGATGGTAGATTCATACGAATTAGCTAGTACTATTATCATTATTATTACTAATAGTATGTACTCCGTATTAGTTATTAGTATTAGATGTGTTTGATTCATAGGTTTTTGATCAAAGTGATCAAAGGGTAAGATTTCATATTCATCAAAACTATATTTTTTTCTGAGTATTGTATGTATTGATATTATATGTGATATATGCTATTAATGTGGACACAAGTGCATTTATCAATAAATGGTAATATGGTGTGGTGATTCTTGAGATATCGAGAATGGGCTTCGACATGTTGAGCCATGTGTGTGTGAAAACTTGGCTTGGTAAATTTTTGGTGTGATATGGTGAAATCTGTATTACTACTGGATTATGGACTATAATTATATTTTGGACAAATCATGTGGAGAAATTTGTATTTTGAAGGAAATTGTATTTTTGAGAAAAGTGTATTTAGAGAAAATTATATATTCTGGAGAAAATTGTATTTTTGTGGAGAAAGTGTTTATCTGTGGAGAAATAATATGATTTTAGAGAAATCGTTAAATTGTGAGTGTTCAGTAAATGTGAGTACTGTTCACTGGGACTAATTATTACTCATTGGGCTTGGAATCCCATGAGTGTGTAACACATAGGTTATGATCCAGTTTTCAAATTGTTTGGGTGGTAGTAGGTAGGAAAACCTGACTACTTGGATCATATACTACCCAGTGGCTTGGAATCCTCTGGGGGTGTGCACATAGGTTTTAGTCCAGATTCTAAGTGAATTTCGATGAGGTTTGTTAATTCTCCACTTATAAATATTAATTCTCTATACAAGGAAAAGTATAACTCCACATGTATTTTGGAAAAGTATAAAATTATATGAGTTTTGAAAATATAAAAATCCAAGCCACTATTTTACGGGGTGAAGTGAAACTTACTTAGCTTATGCTAATTTTTGTCTACACTTTGTTTTTGTGTCAAATTATTTATACAGGTTAACATGGATAGTAAATCAGGATGGATTCAAGTTGAGATGGAATAAAGTTTATTTATTTGCTATTTTGATGAAAAATATTGTTGTATAGTGAATTCAGTTTTATATATTAAGTTGATTTGGAGATATTACTTTGGAGTTGTAAATTTAGCCTTAGCGTTGGGGTATAAGAGAGATACCTGAGCGTGACGGTAACACCCATTTTTATTTTGGTTAGTTAATGTTTCTACTATGATTTTTGTAAAATTGTAAATTAAGATAAAAGAATTAAGGAAAATTTCGGATTTGAAAAATGGGGGTGTTCTAACCAACATGGGAACAGGGACATTGCATGTCAGGTGTCGGGACATCGACCACCAATCTTTGCAGGCGAAGAAGACAACGTCGTGCTTGAGGAATGGATCTGTACCCTCGACAAGATTTTCGAGATGGTAGAGTGTCCGGAGGACCCGCGTGCGGATATGGCTACCTTTTACTTCGGGCACGAGGACGACCTGCGGTGGGTTCAGGAAGGACCGACGTGTAAGCAGGAACCGGGATTCGGTTGGGAAGGGTTGTGATAAGCCTCAAAATATGCTAGTTTCTATGAGCCTTTGATAGGAGTTTTGTGCTCATATAAGTTGAAAAGTCTTGGTTTTTATTGTAATACCCTCAATTTTCAGCATAATTTAAAACCATTTAAGTTTATGAAATAAAGGCAAGACTATCATTAATACCCAAACAGAGCGGAAGCTAAACATCAGAGTTGGGGTGTTATGTCACATCTAAGCTAGAGAACCTAGATGCACAAGCTAAACTAACCAAACAAAGTATAATTCATAGTCATTATCTGAATACAAGCATGACCCACATACCGACTAACTAAGATAATACTAACTAAGCCAGGAACCGCGGTTCCTTTTAGCGCGCTCGCGATCTACTAATTAGTACCTGAAAAACATGCGGTATTACAACCATTAGCGAATAATACTAAGAAACCCACTTCCACGCATTGAGTACAATATATAGGTATAAGAAATCATTTTGAGACTTGGGAATACATAATATAGACTTAGGAGACTCTAGCTTCAAAACCAGGAATCAGACTCGAGGCATACCAATAGACTCGATACGACAAGACACATAAAGACACAACATGCAACTACGACCACAGGGCGGGACAACAATACGACTCAACAATAGCAAGCAAGAACACATAACAAGACATGTCCATGTTCCAACCTTATACCAAGTCCCAACCTTTACGCCTCTCCAACCTTATAATAGTTCCAACCTATACCTCCAAGCCACCCTACCTACCACATCCTTATCCCTCCGGAGCACCGCATGCTCCCCTCCAACATGACCTCTAACATTCCACCGATCTCTCAGCACTCACAGTGCCATTACATAACATGATCTGTGTCTATAGTACAATGATCAAGTGATCTTTGCCTATAGCACAATGATCGAGCACTCGCAGTGCCAAAACATAACTTGATATGTGCCTATAGCACAGTAATCAAGCGACCTCTGCCTATAGCACAATGATCAATGCACTCGCAGTGCGTCATACCACCAACATATCTTTTTCCACCAATTTCACATCTTTTCATCACCATGGGCAATAGCATGACAATCAAGACTCAACAAAAAATTACATCACGGGGTTACCGGGAAGGGGGCACAACATACGAATAGACTCATGACGACACGGGATATCAGCTTAAACATGCAACCTACGGGGAATAACATAATCCACACTTTGATCCACACAATACAAGTTTAAACCACATGCTCGGACACGACTCACAAATCACGTCACGGTACTTAAAACATCATGTTAGACTCACACACATCAAACGAGACACAACGGGGCATGGGGAAACGACCAACGGGAAAAAACGACACAACGCACTGCCCGTACCAGCGGGCGGTGCGGCGGGAGGACGACCTCCCGCCGGACTGCCCGCCAGTGGGGTGCCCGTGTTCCAACTGGACTTCCGGCGGATGGTCAACCACCCGCCGGTCCACCCGCTGGAACACGGCTTCTTCCCAAAGGGTGGTCGAGTGGGGGTTCGTCCCCCTACCGACTACACGCTGGAACACTCTTCTTTGCTAAATTTCCCATCCCGGGAATTCATCAATTATGCCCAATTTCAAATCCAAACACTTCCCAATCCACAACAACAACAACAATATGGACTTGATCAACAAGAATTAGCCAAGAAACAACAGAATTAAATCCTAAACACAGGCTCTAATCATGCCAAGACTCAATAATAAACAGAAAACGGTTCAAGAACCTCAAGAACTCATTACATAAAACCCTAAAGACAAGCTCTAAACATAATTAAACGCAGGGACGTGCAAATCACCACATAAGATCATCAAGGTCATCAAGAATAACGAAAATTCATATCATAATCCTAAGGTCAAGCACTAACCAAGCATAAATACAAAATCACCCATACAATCATTCAAAGGAGCCAATCAATAAACAATAGCAAGGAAAATATGTTTTGTACGACATGGGTTACCTGGTAGCTCTAATTAAACTTCTTACAACTTCTAGGGTCTTTTCCTCAAGGTGCTCCTCCTACAAGTCTCTCCTAAGCTTGGTGACGGGGAATTCCTTGTCTGATCTCTGGGAGGGAATTTTTCGAGTGTATGAGAGGGAAGGGTGGTTCTAAAGCTTTCTAATCCCTTTTATATAGATCTAGGACTCCTAATTAGAATCTGATTAATACTGGGCCCAACTTCTTTATCCTAACAGGTTTTAAGGCTTTAATATAGGCAAGGGTCCACGGTCCACCGTGGACCACACTAATTAATTAAGGGCCTCAACTTACTTAAATTCCTTTTTAATTATTCGTTAACGGAATTACTTAAATAATTAATCTGGATTTTAAGGGTGTAACACGGGGTGTTACATTCTTACGCGTTTTTAGGTATTCTTGGACGGAAAAGTGGTAAAGAGTGGTAGAAAAGAGAATAGCCGAAAAAGGAGCGCGAACAAGGACCGAACACACCGAGACTACGCACGAGAGAATGAGGGAATGGGAATTATTTCCCATTCACGCCCCCCATCACGGCATGAAGGCCAGCGTTAACGGGAAATAGAGAAGTTGGACAAGAGCTCAGGCAGAAGGGAGTTATTCCCTATTCACGCTGGTGACACGGTGTGACGCCGTGCATGAATAGGGTGCCGAACCAAGCTCATGGTATTTAAAGAACAATTGCTGATTTTTGAAGGGGGATTTTTAAAAGTTACACAATTTTGTTTAAACCATCTTTGTTAGGAGAGACAATTTTAGATTAGGGTTCTTCATTTTCTTAGAGAGAGAATCTAGATCTAGCTTAGATCTACTTTACCTTAACTAGATCTTAACTAATTTTGCTTGAATTGTACAAGGATTTTGGAGATTTGGAGGTGCTTTTTCTTGGATCTTCATTTCCTACTCACCATTAAAGAGATCTAGCTTGGATTTTGGGTGAAATCTATTCCTTATTCTTTTATTACTTATCTTGTGTTTCACGTATTGTGCAATTGCTTGATATTTCCTTTAATGATGCTTCGCTAAATTTATAGGGATTAGGATTGTGGTGTAAATTGCTATTGTGATGTTTGGGTTGATTTGATTATATAATTGTGGTGGTTGTTTGATGATTGATGCTTTGATCTTGTTGTTGCAGGATGGTTTTTGTGACTTCTTTGGAGTAGGGCCCGACTCCTTGGAGGGTTTGGATCTCTCAGTTTAGGCAAGAGATTGCTAAACCGAGGTAGGCCCCTTAATCCTCTACATTCCCCGCCCTAAATCCGATAGGATGGTGGCCCGGGAAGGAATGTAGACAAGGTGTTTGAAAGTTTTCCCCATAGGAACTACGGGCACCTCGGTGTCGTAATTCGCTACGAGAAGCATTTTTTACCGAGAATGGCGACGCATTAGCAACATCCCTCTTGATCCATAACAAGTCACTCAACTCACCACAACATCTCAATTGCGGGAAAGACCCATCTCACAATGCAATTGTAACACGATCCTAATCCGCTTTTCTCTCTCTTATTATTTCTACTTTTCCAAGCTTGTTACTATTCCTTTTTCTTACTCAACCAATCAGTTACACACTTCCCCTTGAATCGAGCTTCCCAAAGTTAAAGCAGTCTCACACAATCCTTTACTCAACTTCTAAGTTGTCATTTCTTGAGTACGACACTCGGGGTGGTTCACACTCCCCGTTTTAATTGTACCTATCTTTCCAAACATGACCATGAACATCTAAATCGTTTAACACCGCTTCTATAGAGAGAACCGTAAGTTGTAAGCGTGTTGCGATCAAAATGGCACCGTTGCCGGGGAATGACAAATGGTATCTTGAATTTTTGAGTAAGTGAGAAAGCACACCGTTGAACCTCAATTTCAAGTTTCTTTTCTTTTCTTTTCCTTTCTTTACCTGAGTGTGGTTACTTCTAGCCTCACCTTTCCTTTCAATCTTGAGAAGAGTTGATGCACACCAGATCACGAGGAGGACAAGGACTACTCCCGTTAAATCCAGAAATTCAGAGAATAGCGAGACGAAGATTAAGGACCGAAGAAGCCCGAGATATAGCAAGTGAAATGGCATCTGCCAATGGGATAAACAATCAAGGACTGAATGAAGAATTAAGGCCAGGAATAACACTTCAACCGAATTACCCTCAACCAGAAGCAAATGAGTTTGAACATTCTCCCCCGAGAGAACATGCGAACAACAATGTTAGACTTGATGAAGACTTACCAGGATATGCGGTAAGACGTAATGAAGTGGACAATGCACGAAGAGAAGGGCATATGAGAACGATAACGGAGTGTATGACTCCGGAGTTTTCTATGCACAACTGTATTTATATCCAACCCATGGAAGGAATCAATTTCACCGTCCATCCCTCGGTTATTAACCTGATTCAAAACAATCCATTCAGTGGATTACCCTCAGAAGACCCGCATACCCATATGACCAGATTTATTAGAGCTTGCAACATGTTTAGGTCGAATGGAGTTCCTAAAGACATCATTCACCTAACCTTGTTCCCCTTTTCCGTCATTGGAGAGGCGGCAACTTGGTTAAATTCTCAGGACAATGAACACTTCACCTCATGGGGACAGTTACATCGAGAATTTATGAACGAGTTCTTTCCACTCACAAAGACAATGAAAGTACGGAAGCAAGTGCAAGATTTTAGACAAGGGTCAACT